GATAATTGAAAAGTCGGATAACCGAAAAGTATGAAAAAATCCATTATTAGTGTAGTATATTATTATATCCCATGTAATTAGTATATTAGTATATCGCTATTAACCAACTTTGCGTTGAATTTTCATCGATGTTTAGCCTAACAAATTTTTTAAAAAATAATAAATGTCGCTATTGTATCGTTAAAAATTATTTTTAAATTATTTTATTGCTCACAAAATAAACAACCACTCATAATTAGAAAATTAAGCCTCGTTTAAATACTGGCCTCCCTTTCATGGTTGAGCCAGTGTAGCCAGCTAAAACACGCAAAAATTTAACAAAAATAATATTAAAGTAGCCAAGACATAGCCAAATATTGTAGCGCCACATCACTAGCAGACATTTGAATTTGCCGACTAGAACGCGGTCGGTTAACCAAGGTGACGGTTAGTCGGGAGTTGGATAATCGATGCTGTAGTGTAGTTTTGTTTCCAGAGAACTAAACAGAAAAATTATAAAATTCTTTGTTAAGATAGTCAATATAAAAAATGTTCCAATGTTACAAATGCATAAAATATTAAAATGCTAAAACCATACAATAAACAAAAAATTGTGTGAAAATTTTCACATATGATTTAAATGTTACTGAAACAGACAGAAAGTATCATGACACCATAGCTCAAAATCTTTCTTTGTTGGCTGAAAATGTATAAAAATGAAAAGTTTGCTTATGAAAAGCAATTAAAAATTATAAAAGTATTTTCCTCTAAATTGCTCTAAAATCAAGGACTTTCTATATTTGGATTTAATAGAATTCTTAAATATCAGACAGTCCTTTTTCCAAATAGTTTGTTAAATTGAAAATTTGCTATACTATTATGATCCAACTGTAAATATATAAAAAAATGTAAACAAATACAAAATTAATAATGAAAACCATCCAAGTACTATTGTTGTTAAAGCTAATAAGTGATAATCTACTATTAAAACTTCTGGTACACATGTGGTAAAGATATTAAAAAATCTCAAATAACATGCAAAATAGGATTTAGAACACTTCCTCACATTGTGACACTGTGTGGGATGTAATAAGCAAATTTTGGAGTACTGGTTCCACCAAGTAACCACACCAAGAAGTGATAAACCTGAAGATGAAAAACAAGGCACTACTGTTCATAAATTGCTGGCAAGCCCATCAAAGTGTCCATAAAGCAGTCAAAAGACAATATGGTTCTTAATTTACAAAGTACAGATCATTCACAAATTGTAAACTGCCAATCAAACTAAAAGAATGTGACACTATCAATGGTTCCTAAACTTCATAGCAGAACATGAAATCAAAAGTGATGGATGACTGCTTTTTCACAAATGAGGCATGGTTCCATCTATCAAGGATATGCAAATTCACAAAACTCATGATTAAAGTGAATCTGCATGCATTTTATAAACATCCTCTGTTTATTGAAAAAGTTAATGTTTAAATAGCAATTTCTAAAAAATGAATAATGGAATTCTTTGATAGCACTGTTTTGATACATTCTAATTCAGACCAAATTTCCAGAAAATGAATGAATTCCCTCACTTTACATGAAATATAAGTGTCTCTAACTATTACATTCTCACATTTTCCAGTTTTCTTAGTGAGGGAGTATTTTCATACTTACTTCTGTAATAGATTTGGTACATCATATGAATTTTTTAAATGCATATATAATAAAATAAATAAGTAAAATGTTTATACATAATTTTTTAAGATTAAATAAATTAATATGACCAAATTGAATAATAATAAAAAAAATGAATAACAGAGGTTATTAATATAGCAAAATACTTATTACGTACAGAGTGATTTCAAAGCTGACTACAGCTAAGCTGCCAACTGTTCATTAGATTTATGATTCATGTTTTCAAATTATTATTATTATATATAAAATCATCTGAACATAAAACTATATAAATTATAAAATATTTAAATTATATAAAATATATAATAAAAACTGAACATAAAACTATATAATTATAAAATATATAAATTATTATATTAAGATTTTTAAAATTATCAGAGTAGATCAAAAAATTTTTTACATATTTTATAGCTATTCATTGTATCAAGAATTAAATGATAATAGCTTTCATTTTTAAGCTAATGATAAAATGAATTTTACAATTTCATTCAAAATTTTAAATTTTGGCATTATGCTATTCTATAAATCAAAGTTAAATTCTTTATTTATAATAATTTAATTTTTAGTATTAAATTAGAAAATTATCAATTCTTTAATTATTGAAATAATTACTAATGTTTAATATACCATATTATATTAAAACTTCCTATTAATTTTACTTATAAGTTTTACTTATACTGTAAAATCTATGAATTACATTTTTTCTAAAATTAAATGAATTGTTTTTATTTATATTGTACCTTTTTTGCCACAGAATAAATATTATTTAAGTCTGTCATTGTAACAAGGGCTTTGAAATAACTTTCTTCACTAAAATCATTTTCATCCAGAAAATATACATATACATCATAAGAAAATTCTCTTGCAGTAATAGAACAAGGAGGAGAATGCTGATTTCTTTTATATCCAACATTAGCATGTTGATATTCTAAATGTGTAATTGCTCTTCCAAACAGAATTTTAAGAAATGGAGAAATTTCTATTGGAAATTCTATATTACATCCTCCTGGAATTGGTACTATTAATATAAAAATCACTAGCAGACATTTGAATTTGCCGACTAGAACGCGGTCGGTTAACCGAGGTGACGGTTAGTCGGGGGTTGGATAATCGATGCTCTAGTGTAGTTTTGTTTCCAGAGAACTAAACAGAAAAATTATAAAATTCTTTGTTAAGATAGTCAATATAAAAAATGTTCCAATGTTACAAATGCATAAAATATTAAAATGCTAAAACCATACAATAAACAAAAAATTGTGTGAAAATTTTCACATATGATTTAAATGTTACTGAAACAGACAGAAAGTATCATGACACCATAGCTCAAAATCTTTCTTTGTTGGCNGCACACGTATTTGTAAAATCTAAGTGACTCGTACAACATGTAATTCAGATAAAACGGAAAAATCAATGATCTTATAGGGGGGTCGACTGTAGAGCAATTCTTTAAGAAAAGCATAAGAAAAATAATTTATGAATGCTTTTAATGATAAAGATGAAATATGAAGATTATCTGATAAAAAAAATATAAACTTCTAAGTATATTTCATTAATAATATGTGATGATTTGAACATATTACCAGTATTCATTTTTAAAAATCAAAATAATTATGGTATCAATTTATTCTTACCTTCAGGTTTTTTAAGTATAATTGTTAAAAGTACAGTAATATCAATGTCATAATTATTAATAATCCAAACAGAACCAGATATTTGATTCTCTTTCAGTAATATAATAAGACCAACATCATTGCCAGTTATGTATGTTCCAATCAAATCTGCTGACATGGTTTCAGAAATAGTGACTTTTTCTTTCTGGGAATGAACTCCAATTTGTATATAATGATATATAATATCAACATTTCTAACTTCTACTTCTAGAGTCTCATTAGCATTCAGATTCAATGTCTTAAATGTAAGTGGTTTTATAGGAAAAAATACTTCTGGATTTGCTAAAATTAAAATATAATAAAATGCAAATTACAAACTTACATTTAGACGAAATATATGAATTTTACAATTAAGTTTTTTATTAATACAAACAAAAACAATTGTTGATTATAAAAATAATTAATAATTTAAATTAAATAGTATCATATTAAATGCAAATCTTTATACTTAATTTATAAATGTAAATAATTTATATTAATCTTATGAAAATAATCTATGTACTAGAAAACTTTTACTACTTTTAATTTTAAAACTTTTTACATTTTTAAGCTATTACTATTGTTAAAGTATTTGTAATATAAGAACAGATATAATTCAGCACCATCATTTGTTTGTCTTTTAAATTGACATTATATTTAATGCAGGAATGCCAGATGTCCCGCAATGTGCGGGACAGTCTCACACAAGAGTGATTTGTTCCTTGTCCCAGATAAACATTTCAATATCCCGCACATAAAAAATTAACAGATTCTGACTGTAAAATAATACCATAAAATAATAATGCCAATAAAATAATGCCATAAAAGGTGATGGATGCTGTTATGAAATGTATTTCTTTCCTAATAAGTACGAATTTCAGACATTGATGGGAGAGTTGCCTGCTAATGGTCATGGAATGTGTTAGATGTCAGGGAATCCCTCCAGCTGCTCAGGGATTTTTAGATGTAGGTGTCTGCATAAATTGTGTCATCAACAATGTCAGTGGTGTCTGGTGCAATTTTTAGTATAATGACAAGTGCTCAGCATAAAGATAGAAATAGGTTGATTCTAAAAATATTGTTCGAAATTTCATTTTTTTTTTTAAATCAAGGTAATTAAACCTAGTAATTTTTTATGAAGTGAAATCAAGTGATAAATATTGAATCATTTTTAGGATAAATAGTATAAACAAAAGTTTATCTCAATTATTTTTGTTGTTTTTTCTTATTAGATACATTTTTAAATGGCTAAAATGAAGTTTAGAAATTAAAATAACATGTCAAAATCGTTAACTGTGAAAAAATTTTCTTGAGAAAAATTGCCACAATTTTTTTCATTTTTGTCCCACAAAACCTAATTTGAAATCTGGAAACCTTAATTTAATGTGACACTAAACTGAATGATCACAAAACAATAAAAATTAAATGTGGTAATAAGGACCACTTGAAATTTGAGTGAGAGTTTTAAAGTCATTTAATTTGATGATGATAATGACATTTACAATGCAAAATTATATATTTAATAATTTACAGATACTGAAGATTCTCTGTTTAACATTTATAGAGGAAAATTTAGAAGAAAAAGAAAGACTTCCTAAAGAAATGATATAAAGCTTTTCAGGACCCTAGTCTAGACCCTCAGAAAACCAGTAATGACTTAAAACCTAGGAAGAAAACACAATATAATAGGATGAAACCAAAGTTATCAGACATATCAAAGATACTAGATTAGCAAAATTGTAGAAATTATAGAAATTTACAAGGTGCAACAAAAAAATATTTAACAAAGCAAAAAAGAAAGAAAATTGAAAAAAAAGATGCATTCAACATTTCCAATACCTGGAAGTTTTTCTTTAAAACAAAATTTAATGCACACAAAGGTTATAATGTAGTAAATAGTATTTTATTAATGGAATATATTTTAAAAGTGTAGTTACACCCGAAAATAATTTTTTTGGGCTGAAATTTGAAAAAATTGTAGACCTATAAATTCCCACTGTCATCCATCTGTCCTTCTTTAATATCAAGAACAGTTATAGATGTTGAGATCAGATATGGAATGGAAGTTGAGATCAGATATGGAATGCTTAGGGCAGAAAGTCCTGATTAACTATATATATAAACTTTTTCTTTGGGCTGGATGTTGTGTTATTTCAATTCAAAAATTTCCCCTGAAAGCAGTTAATAGATGACTGACACAACTATATTGTTAAAGGAAAAGTATGATGTATGGGGGCAAGCCACTACTGGAGAGCATTTATTTTGAATTAAATAAATTACAAATATGATTAAAAATTGCAGCACAGCTTTCTGACAATGTCACAATAAATAATTGCTCGTTTCATATTCTTTATTATATTTTAGTGTTATTTTATTTATCTAGTTTATAATTAAATTTACTTTGTAATAATAATTTTTTTAAGTAACAGAACACCTGCATGTATTTTAACTTCTTTTTTGAACCTGATGAAGAGTTAGAAATTACCTTGAAAACATTACTTATATCAATATATAAATATTTATTGCTGGAGTAAAGTCAAGGTTGTTTTATTTGTGCTGCATTTACATTAGGTTTTTCAATATAAATGTATTCATCTCATGATCTCTATTTGAAATTAAGGTTATTTTTTAATGCTCACTAACAAGATATAATTTTAAACTACCATTTTGATTTTTGTTTCATCATGTTAATATAATACTCTCTATGTTAAAAATAAAGTTATTAAATAATTGCAATAAAACAGAAAAATTAAACATATAGGTTATCTAAATCATTGACTGACTGTTTATTGAATTCAATTAAAATTATTGAATTTTGGTATTTAAATGATCACATTATGCTCTCAACAACACTTTGGTATTTAAATGATCACATTATGCTCTCAACACATTTGGTATTTAAATGATCACATTATGCTCTCAACACTTGATTATGTAACATTACAAAATAAATATATTTTCATATTTATATATGAAAATATATTTAAAATATCTATAAATTTTTATATAAGAAAATAGATAAAATGCTCATATTTTTTGTAACTTATAACATGATCTATACACAATAAAAATTGATTACAGTCGACCCCCCCTATAATGCAGTAGATACGTTCTGCTTTATAAGAATTTCGCGTTTTAGGAATCCTTAAATACATGAGCCAATCACAGCTCAGCACCTGTGCAGTTTACGGACTACGGCTGTTTGAAAGGTTTTCTTCCATAAAATTAATCGATTCTAGACTAATTTGACTCAACATTTCCAAAACACGTATAATTTTTTGGGAATAATCCGTATAAACTATGCTATAAACAAAAAATTGTAGGATTACTTAGCGAGTGTGCACCGTTTGACGATGCCATTGTTTAAGCTTGTTTTTGTCATGGAGCAGAGCACCAAACGGCAGGTGCATTTTCTGATAAGTTATTTTTCTGCGAAAAATTCGTTGAACTTTGGAAACATCATTAATAGAAATAATTTTTATGGCCATTGAATAAGAAATGTTTTTTTCACAAGAAATGTATAAAATTACAACAGTACTGTATTAGACTTACAGTACCTAATTTATATACTGTACAGACGATAGTAAACTCAACTTACCCGCCTAAACTCTCCGTAGCGTGTAAATAGTTTGGCTGCTCATCCACTATTGGTCCAGATTCGACCAATCCTGTCGCAACAATAGTCAGCGATGACGTTTTACCACATTTTACGAGTCTCCGTTAGAATCTTTATACGAATACGGTCGCAATTTTTGGTCATTAAAAATGGTCTCCGTTAGCATCTTTATACGAATACGGTCGCAATTTTTTCTCCGCGATATATGAATCCGCATTATATGAACCCATGTTATAGGGGGTCTACTGTACATTTAACTCATAACTAGTAGATATACAGTAGAGCGTAGTTTATCCGAAACGTCGGTTATCCAAAAAAATTCCAGTCGGCAAATTTAAATTTTCGCTAGTGCTGTGGTGCTGCAATCTTTGGATACTCCAATATTTTTTTTGTTGATGTGTATGTTTTAGCTGGCAGCACTGGCACTTTTATGTGGTGTTTTTCTGAAGACTGTGTGTCATGCTGAATCAAATGTTTTTGATACTAGATTTTTTTTTTGTTTGTATTTATTTTGTTTGTAAAAAATAAAGAAATAATTTTTAACGATACAATAGCCACAATTATTATTTTAAAAAGTTTACATTAGGCTTAACATCGATGAAAATTCAACGCGAAGTGACACGCAACAGAGAAAACTTTCAACACGGGATAGGTTAATATATTTTTTCGTACGTAATCAGTTATCCGAACAACCCCAGTCCGCAACTGATTCGGATAAACAACACTCTACTGTATAACAAAATAATCAACCTATTTCAAACCAGAAAATTATTTAATTTAAATCACCAACTTAAATCACAAATAAAAAATGAACATTATCTTTCATTTTTAATGACCAATACTCCAATTCTAAATTTTTATCAAACAAATTTGTTTGTATAATTAAATATCATTTAATTATTGATTATATACAGGCACTCCTCACTTAACAACCGAGTTCTGTTCCTATGACTAGGTCATTAAGAGAATTGGTCATTAATTAAGGAGCTTAAAGAAACTCCATCTTGATATTTTTGTTTTAATTTGCGTTTCTTACACATTACAGAACATAAAAATATAATCAGTAAAAATTACAAAATTACATACCAAAAAAAAAAACTGAAGTTTTATTTATAAAAAAAAAGACATTCAGATTAAAATTTTAGTCAGTCATTGAATCTTTCAAATAGGATGCACAATAAAGTACAAATTTATAAATGCAATATGAAGTCTCAGTTATTGAAAATGCTTTACATGGTGAATTCTGACCACTGCAGGAACTAGACTAAGATTAAGAAAATAGATTCCCCATGCTGGATAGCTGGTCATAAGTCTGAGCTGTCATTAAATAGGTAGATCATTAAGTAGCCTTTACATTGGTTTGAAGAAATCACTTCATAGAAACGAATAACAATAGGTAAAATTTACAATTAAAAACGATCAGACGTCAGCCCAATATTTATGTTAATGAGATAAATGATTTAGACATTATATTTGCAAATATATTAAAAAAATATTTAGAAGTTTGATAATAAGGAGAGGAGTATTGTGGTCAGGATTGACTGGGGGTTTGAGGGAGTCATCTAGTCCCTCAATGTTGGCAAATTATGCTGTATAGCAAACTCACACCATCAAAAAACATTTTTTTAATTACAAAGTTGTTAAAAATCACTGAATTTATAATCATTTACTTTGAACTAAGCAAAGGATTGCTTACTTAAGTTTGACTTTGTTTCATCCTTAGGTAACAATTAGCAAAATCAGCCTCCATGCCCCAAATGAAGATGTCTAAATACAGCCCTGATTCTAGTGCCATTTTTGCTACATATCTGACTGCTCTATCTTCAGAGTTTTATTCTTTTAAAATTTTCAGTCAGTTATCAACTGTTTGGGTTATTGCTGTTTCCAGTCTTCAGCATAAAGTTAGCAATATCCTTAACAAGCTTTACATATCCATAAACAAACTTTCTAATCTAAGAGTCATATATTGGTGAGGTTTCCAGATGCAGACTTTGTTTTCCCATTTTAAATAAAGACAACTCCATGTAACTACAATGCCAATAAAGACATTGAATATTTTGACAATGTTTTATTTTTCAAATACTTCCAAGACATAGTTTACATAAATTGAGAATTCCTGCTATTGTTACTCACAATATGATAGGCATTTTGTCTAGCTATCTCTAGGTGGTCTTTTTTTTATAGCTCAGTTCTTTAGATCAGATAGAAGAATTTTTGTTTTTATTTTCTCTCATTTTAAAAATCTCTGTTGTCATTTAAATCTCAAATTGAATGTTTATTCTCAGTTTAAATGCATTTAACATATTTTTAAACAGATTTTTATAGTTTTAATTTTAATTATTATTTTCTTGTGTTGTAATTTTTCTCTTTTATGGTTTTGTTTGTATTGTGAGTGCATATGATGCAATCACTATACATATGGAGTGTTTGCTTGTTTATTTTGTTATTGTAGAAATGGTAATCTCAAGTAATATAAGACTTTATTCTGTACAAATATAGATTAGAAAATAAATAATAATATTTAAGTATTATTTTATTAAATAATTTAAATGTAGAGTACATACCTTAATAAAAGAGTTATGTAGTGTAATCTTATTTAAATTTAAGAATTGTTTAAATTTGTTGTTCAATCAATATCTCTTGGATCATGTTCACTAAAGCTGATTTAAAACATTTGATTTATCTCAAATAACTTGTTGGTAGTTCTGTTAAATTTATATAGTGGATCATAAGGTCTTTTTGCTTTGATTACTTTTTTTTTTTTGTTGCTTTCAGACAAAAAATAAATAATTCTAAATAAATTTTGTGAAATTATAAAATACTGATATAATCAATTTAAATAAAAAAAAAACAGTAGAAACTATTTTTAAATGATATCAATTTTATAAAATCAATTTTATTAAAAGTTTTACTACAACTTAATCTTTAAATAAAGATAAATATTAAGCAAAATCAATCCAAAACAAAATAAAAATCATTTTTAAAAAGTAAATTAATTAATTATTTATATATAATTTTAGTATAAGTAATTAATTTTATTAACTTACCACGAGTAATATGACATAAATATAAAGAAAAGCCAAATAAAATCTGTAGCAAATTTGAATTCGTCATTTTATTACCAGGTACGAGCAAAAGTCAATTTACGCATTAGACATAAAAATTAAAGGGAGAGATAAATTCATCGCATGATTCATGATATATACTGTAGTTTCCAATGACGATAAATGTTGGCTATCTAAAAATATCAGGCACTGATAAAAATAAAAATAAAATAAAAACTATAAATATGCCGTTTTAAATTTTGAGATGTTTGCTAATCGCATACATAAGAATCGCGTGGATCAATATTATTATACTGTAATCTTACACGAATGTAAAGTCACTTGTAAACACGAGAAAGTCAAGGTTTCTTGTCACGAGACGTTCCGATTGAATGAAAACCAATGAGAATTGACTAGAAATATGTCAATTGCAAATCACGTGTACTGAACCTTAAGATTACTTATAAGGTTGAATGTCTCTTCCGAAATTATAGTTATTTTTCTTATTTACTCTTTGAAATATAATTCATGGTTCATTTCGATTGGTCATAAACTTTGATGTCAATCATTGTAAGCTACGGGTTTAATCCGTACGGGTTAAACCAGTGTTTCTCGACGGGGTCGATATCGCCCCCATGTGGGCGTTTTTCTATGTTGAGGAACGATTAGTAACAATTTATATTTTGGGGGGTGAAAAACAATTTTCTGGGCGATATAGTAAAACATTATATTAAAAATAATTAGATATTTTATTCGTTATATCGTACAAATAATTAAACAAAAAACATTATACTAGTCACTAGTCTATTCAATGCAGTACGAATTTGGCGTTAGCCTTTGTCCTCGGCATCGTAATTTTGTGGTAAAGGGGGCAATACTACATAAAGGTTTTATTGATGGGGGCGATACTACATTGAAGGGGGCGACATTCTGTTAGAGGTTGAGAAACACTGGGTTAAAACTTTTTATTTTATCCTTGGCTATTAGTTATAACAATAAAATAAATTTAATTTATAGTACAGTATATATTAATATTAATAAGTGCCTACTATTTCAATTCACATACTTTGCACAAAGGACAAGGGCCTCGCAAAGATCTGCCGCCCAGGGCCTCGCAAAGATCTGCCGCCCAGGGCCTCGCAAAGATCTGCCGCCCAGAGCCTCGCAATGGATAAGGCCACCGCTGATATGTTTTATATACAATTTCATATTCCAGTAAATTTAAGAAAAATATGGTGGATCCACGAGGGGTAAGGACATTAAGCACTCCCCATTGAAACAAAAAAATTGAAATTTATTTGTTGAAACTTCAAAACGTTGTTTTAAAAAAAACATTTAAGATGGCAAATATGGTTTATCCAACTGTCCTCAATGCAATCGTCTTGCATGTGTTAATAAAAGGTCGTTAAAATTATTCAAATATTTTTACTTTTTTGAGTTAGCCTCACTTTGCGTTCTTCTGGATCAGCTACTACGGTTATTATTACTATTACTATTATTATGTTGGGTTTAGTGGGTTATACTCGGTTGACACCGGTTGCTGTGTACTATACCGGATCTGAACCAAGGCATATCAACCAAAACAATACAAAAATTAAATGAGTATGTCAGTGTGTGTGTCTGTATTCAGGAATTTCCTAATGATACGACATGTATTCAATATAATGGCCTCCTGTAGTGTGATGTATGTGTTTCTATTCAATTGTAATGTTCAGAGTCTTTTGTGTAGTATATGTGGTATTGTGTCTTACACCTAATGAGTTTTCCCCATCGATCATGATGAAAGAACTGGCGCGTTAAGAAGCCACTCAGGGAAAAAAAGGGGGATCGAGAGTAGCTCAGTCTCAAGAAGGGACAAGAGAAGAAAAGTGTGGAGCGTAGAGTGAGGAAACCGTTAAACTTAGTTCACACTGAGTGCGATTCGCTAGCGAAAGCGAAAAACAGAGCGAATAACCCGTCAAACAGCTCATGTTTGACCGGTTATTCGCTTTGTTTTCGCTTTCCCTAGCGAATCGCGTTCAGTGTGAACTAAGCTTTATCGAGTAGCCGAGCGAGAAAAAAAGAGATCATAGAGGAATATAAAACGAAGGTGCAAATGAGTACTTTAATAGTGGAAGAAAGATCGTCAAATCAGTCTTCAAGTCTGCAAGGTAGAAAGGTAGTAAAGATTCACTTTCTACTTTTGGGCTTTACTGTATTAATCTCTAAGGACTTTCATATTATTGTCGGGATTCTCATGTATTATGCGCAAAACTTTTGACGTGTTGTACGTTCTTCGGGATAATTAATAGACGAATTAAATAATTGTACCATTACACTTTGGTTCATTGTCTTTGTCCTGTTACACCCGATAGTAGTGGATTAACAACCACAAGTGTCTGGTTTATATTGTTCACTTGTTCCTGTTTTGGCCCGTTGTAGAAATTAACGTTTTTTTTTTTTTTTCGATTTGTTCTATCCCCATTCTCATAGTATGACACCCGTAGAGGAGAGAACGACAGGTACAATAAGCGCCCTATCCATCCTCCACAGATGCGTTATTTCCTGGACGAGTTCTGTGTACTTGCTGATTTTTTCTGTACATATGTTTTGTACAGTATGTTGTGAGTGTTTGGAATGGATATATCTATTACCGCGTAACTACCGCGGAGCAGTTGGAGCGAACTTTCCAGGCTCACGAATCATGAGGACGCCAAGTTAGAAAGGGCAAAATAAAAACTTGTAAAAACATTTGTAAAAAAATATTTTTCAATTTACCAGGGAACCTTGGTATATGACCTTAATCCGTTCCTGATGTTTGGACTTATACCAAACCAACCTTTCCCATAAGAAGTAATGTAAAAATGATTAATCCATTTCTCATGTAAAAAAAATGGCTGGCTTTAAAAACCTCACTTTCCTGGCTAGTTCCTGCTTGATTTTTCATGAGATCAGCATGCATCTTTTTAGTTTTATCACAAGTAATTGCTTCTGATACACTGTCGCCAGCACACTATTTTTCAGTTATCCAAAGCAAAAACAATTTCTCAACATGATCTAATGTCTTCAATCTCTGTTTAGAAATTGATTTAACCCCTTTTGCAACGTTAGCAGATTTAATAATGTCTTTATTTTTCATAATTGTCGATATTGTCGTTCTCAGAATATGGTATGCAACAGTTAAAATTTCAAACATGCATACCATCTTCATATTTCTCAACAATATCTTTTTTCAGTTCCATTGTGATTCTAGTAATTTTTTTTAGTTTTCTGTTGCTTTTCATTTGCCTTTTTGCAATTCATGATTAATAAAAATAATAAAATTTTACTTACAAATTAAGATCAGAAGAAATTTAACAAAGTTATAAACTGCGGCACCACGAATGTCTAGTCTGGTCTACTAAATCGATAGTGCTACTTGTTCATAGATGGCATGTATAATTGAATTAAGTCATATACCGAACAAAAGTCGTATACTGAGCAAAATTTGTTTCGTCCAAACAGGACATACAGTGGTACCTCGTATAACATACGCCTCGAATAACGGACTTTCTATTTGGCCGTTACGTGACTCGAGCAACGGACTGGCTGCAAACAACGGACTTTCTGTTTGGCAGTTACGTTAGGCAAACAATGGACTTTCTGTGAACAAGTGTGAATGACGTTTCCACTCTTTTGCCGTTGCCAATGACAATCTGCTATTTTTATAATATATTAATATTATTAGAATATATTATTAGTATATCTGAAGTACAGAGCTCCCATTGGGATTCGGCTTGCTCCCTTGTTTATTACGTACATCACCTCAGTGCAGGGTATTTACATTTNCATTTTTTAAAGTAATTTTAAAGTTTTGTAACCTCCAAAATCATATTAATAATGCTGTGTTAGGTCTATAGGCCTATAATAAAAATTACCTTTAAATAACGTAGAAATTTTCACAAATAGAAAAAAATTAATTAAAGTTTGCTGGAAACTGCATACAACAACAACAAAAAAAAATGTTTTGAATTGAGTTAAAAATTAAAAGATCAAACTTCTAACTTAGAAGGTAATTTTCGTTTTTTAAATAAAATATAATACAAAATATTGTAAATTTTTATAAGATTTTAAAAAGCAAAGATGGTCAATACTCTGATCACTCAATCTAATTCTTATTTTAGTAATGAAAAGTCCTGCTACCGAGAATGCCCTTTCTGAATCGATTGATGTGATTGGAATCGAGTTAATGCATTTAAGAGAAGACAGATGTTATGTGTTTTTTCACCTGTAGCCTGGAAGATTTTTAGTTCGTTTTCGAGATTGTATACTTCTTGTGAGGGTCGTAAAAGCGCGTCGAAATTACGACTAATTACGAAACTTTTACGTCGGAAAATTTCGAAGATAGAATCGGGTCAAGAGGGTATGTTAATGACAGAACCCAGATGGGAAGAAAACTTTTTCCCGTATTGTAAAACAAACGCGGCACGATGATAAGCAGCAGGGGGGGAATGTCGACAGGGAGAGAGAGCTTTGTCGAGATGCCCGCAAACAAGTGTCGGGTCGAAGCAATCGAGAAAAAGGGGATTTAAGAACAAAAGGGACATCTGTTAAGTCCGAACGCGGTAGGGGATAAGTGGTCACAAGAGCATCTGGTGGACCGTTTAAGTTCAAAGATGTCCGAGAGAAGGGCCATAACGGAGTAAAATACGAGCGCGAACATTAAAAGCCCCGTCATCACCTCTCCGACCTTTTCCCGACCCGGATCGGTCTCGAGTTTCGCCTAGAAACAAAAGAATGACCAATCGGGGTAAGGGAGAGGGTGAACGGGACCAATCAAAAGGGTGAGATTCGAGGAAAATCTTATAAAAACCCCGAATCTCAAGGACAGCGAGAGATTCTCAGCCGATTCTCTCCCAGACGCCAGGTCATCCGTATACGACCACCCAAGCTCCGTCGCCGTCTTAAGAAGAAAGAAGTGAGGACCCCATCGTCGGACATCGCCCGTCAATTCAGCGGACATCGCCCGTCAAATCACTGGACATCGCCCGACTATCACCGGACCCTCCTTCGACCAAGCCCCGGGGCACCCACAAGTGTAACAGCGGACGTCCCTCCAACTTATTCTTGTTATTCCTGTTATGTAAGTTAACCTTGTCAAAATAAACGGTTTTCGTGTAAGACACTTGTCATCCTTGTCTCCTGCCTTCACCACCCAAGTACGACTTGACCCTAGGTTTTCCTGACGCGCAATTAACGTATTGCCCCCTAAAGTCGGCGACCTTACATTCTTTTGCTCTCTAGTATTCTTGATTTGTCTAGAATAGAAACATCATAGCCCAATAATTCGGCAGTTCGTTTGTCTTTAATAATCAGATTATGGAGAAAAACTTCATACTTGCAAACTTCGTACTCGTTTGTATCCTTGCCCAATTTGCACAATCTGGAGTTACGCAGTTATTGAAGCTACTGGGCATGGTTAAAAATTAAGACAGTATAAGCACAATTATTCTAGATATTACAGGTAAAGAAGAACTTTGAGAGTCCTGCCACAAATAAGCTACGTATTGATTATTGACCATTTGTGACATGCCATAACGAGCAAAAATTAAAAAGAACTAATAAGTAGGTTTAAAATTAATAAATACCAGTAGAGTGCCGTCAT